GTTCTGCTGTGCAGGGTCGCTATGAGTCAGAAACGACTCGACGGCACTTAACAACAACAACAACCCAAGTGATGGTGTTTCCAACCTCATATGCATGTGAAAGCTGGTCAATGAATAAGGAAGACAGAAGAACAGTTAATGCCTTTGAATTATGGTGTTGGTGAAGAATACTGAAAATACCATGGACTGCCAGAAGAACAAACAAAATCTGTCCCAGAAGACATGCAGTCAAATTTTCTCTGGAAGGAAGAATGACCAGACTTTGGTCATGTTGTCAGAAGAGACCATTACCTTGAGAAGGATATCATGCTTGGTAAAGTGGAGGGTCAGTGAAAAAGGAGAAAACCCTCAACAAGAGGAAGAACTCACACATGGCTGCAAAGATGGGCTCAAGTATAACAAGGATTGTGAAGATGGTGCAGGACCAGGCAGTGTTTCGTTCTGTTATACACAGGACCGCTATGAGTTGGAGCCAACTCAATGACACCTAACAACAACAACAGTAAATAATGTGGTTTAGTACCATGCATTTAGAGAGAGCGAGTCAAAGATTGTCAGCAGTAAGGGTTTTTTCCACACATAAACAAAAAAGCAAATTAAAATCATTTACCTTCTTCAGCCTGTTTCATTGGACTCTTGGTCTTAAAGAAATGGTGGTTAACACTCCCACCACTTTTAGGGTCTGACTCCAGTTTTAGGATTAAGACTTCTAAATCTGACATGACAGCAACATATCTAGCACAAAAAGAAATTTCTACAGGAGTAATATTATCTATATGTATAATTAATGAACGTTCAAAGTCCAAAATTGAGAATTCCTCATTAACGATCTGATACGTCAAACTAAATAAGACTAACTTATTTGTGCAGCCAACAAGAAGGTCTCCTTTCACAGGACAACAGGAAATGCACAAGGGTGCTTCAGAAAGTGGCATTTCAATGATAGACATCTGATCTCTGAAGGTTTCACTGAAGGGGGCTTCCACATTATGCCCAACCATGCGGATACACACACGAGAGTTTTCAGCCCTTTTGCTTCTCCAGTTCACGTAAGCACGAAGAAATGTAGCTTTGTTTTTCTCTTCAATTGCCACCAAGTAGTCTCCTGCAAATGAAATAGATGATCATTAAAATGTTTAAGTTGAAATATAGCCACTACCCTGCTGCCATCAAAAGGAACTATTAATGAACCCTACCAAGCATGAATGGTCAAATTACAGGTTCAATAGAACAAAACTCAAAGTAATAGGATCTTAAAAAAAAACAAACTCACTGCCATCGAGTTGGCTCTGACTCACAGCAACCCCTCCTTGGGTTTCCGAGGCAGTATCACTACAGAAGTGGATTGCCTGGTCTTCCTTCCAAGGAGTGGCTGGTGGGTTTGAATCATCAGCCTTCTGGGAAGCAATCAAATCCCTTAGACACTATGCTACCAGAGCTCCTAACAAGATCTTAGGTGTTAGTATTTTTAACTGACATTAGACATTTAGATTCTGAAATACAGTGTATCTCCATTTTAGTATCTTAAGAGAATATATTAATTACTTATATAGCTTGTATAGAAATTTCACATTTTATTCTTTAAACTGGCTCTGTTTCCTGTAGTTCTGAATCTATAGCTCCAACAAAGCTCTCCTGATACAATAAGTTCAGCAGCATTTAAAAAAAAAAAAAACAGAGTCAGACTCATGGGGACTCCATGTATGTCAGAGTACAAGCATCCTCCACAGGGTCTTCAATGACTTGATCTTTAAGAAGTAGATTGCCAGGACTTTCTTCTTAGGCACTTTTGGGGAGACTTAAACCTCCAACCTTTAGTTAGCAGATCATGTTAACTGTTTACACCACCACAGGGCTCCTCAGTAGTATTAGTGTGACTTATTATAAGTACGAATAAATTAAGGACCCTGAGTCAGCAGAATCTACACTTCAACTCCTTTCCTTCCCACAAAAATCACATGTATCGGTCAACTCTGAAAAATGGAATAAACTGTACATATTAAGGACAACTGAAATCCAAGTTAACTTTTCCTTTATTGTTGATGTGATTAGATTGTATGTATTTGCCATGAGAGGTCAAAGTGATAAAATGATACATAAAGAATAGTGTTCTTCCCCACTCCCTACACTCTCATCCCTGAGGAACCAATGTTAATACATAGACAGCATGGTATGTGCCCTTCTGCACCTCTCTATGTTCATAGAAGTACAGATGAAACAGAGTAGGTTCTTTGGGTCATTTTTTGTTTGTTTTTCACCAAATTGGAATCATACTAAATACATCTGTCTACAACTTTTAAAAAATTATTAATAAATCTTTCCATATATGTCAGTACTTAGATATCTAATATTTTTTTCAGCATCTACATAATATCCTTAATTTATTCAAGTTCCCCAACTGATGTACATTAAGGTTATATCCAGTGTTTTAGCACTCTAATATTGTAATAAACATGCCTATACCTATATACATACTAGAAAGGTGTAGATTGCCAAATATGGGCATGTTGGGACAAAGAGCAGGTACAGTTTAAATTTTAATAGAAACTGCCAGATTAACTATCTGTGATGCAGTGACATACTTTATATGGCTCTTCTAGCCATGGTCTTTGTGACTCCCACCAGATGATTGGGTGGAACTATGGAAATGTAAGGTGCTTATGGCCCACCAAGGGGATTGGATAGATTGTTAGTGTGATAGTTAAGTTTCTGTGTCAACTTCACTGGGCCTGGTTGAGTGGCTGGGCAGCTGGATGTAGCATTTCCCATGAAAAGACTAGTAATCAACTCCATGGTGGAATCTCCTGTGAGCAGCTGAGTAGCTGTCTTAGGGATATGGTCTGCTTCCTGTATATAAGGAGAACATGTGGGGAACAGTCTCTCTAGCTTATGGCATGCTTGAACCCTGCATGTAGCCATGTCATTGTTCAGCAGCCTGCCATGCTCTACCAATCTTGGGACTTTCAATGGACTTGAATTAATGGCCTGCAATGTGGTTTGGTAACATCAAGTCTGTGCCTTTTTACTTGTCAACCTTGGGCTTGTCAGCCTCAGCAGCCAGCAGCTGAGTGAAGAAAAGCCTCCAGTTTCAGTGGGCCAGAAGCAGGAGGCAGAGCTCAAGATTGAAGGGCTTTCACCCAGCCCCTAGAGCCTGGCACTTTGTACTTGGACTTAAAGCCTCCAAACTGTTATTTGTTAAAGCCTTCTCATTTGTGGTATCTTCTTGTCAGAGTGGCACTAGGTAACCAGAACAGTTAGTAATGCAAATTAGGTACATGGCACCTTTGTGTGGATGGGACTGTGCAAATAAGGTGTATGGAAGGAACCCTAATGTGCAAATTGGTCAATTTTGCCTTCCCACTGGACTTAAAATGAGCCATTCCAGAGGCAGAAAGGGGAGATCTAACTGCCACTGAGAGAGAAGAGCCAGGAGTGGAACACATCCTTGGACCCAAGATCCCTGCACTGAGACAGGAGAGAAATGGTACAGAATGAGAGAGATGGCAGCAAGATAGTAACAACAGTGGCAGCAGAATCAGGAGACTGGCATGAGATGCAGCAGCGGGCGTCCCAGCCCACAGAGCAAGAATGCTGAGTGCCTTCAGGCAGAGGTCTTGCTGGTAGAGTGGGATGCCTCTTGGGCACCTATTCAGCAAAGCTAAAAGGACTTTGTAACACTGTCCCAAGCAGGGTAGAGGCTGAGGCCAGAGAAAGGCATGCCTGAGGCACAGATAAGAAGAAGCTATTCTGATTGAAGAACTGTATCCTGAGTTGTTTCTGATCCTGAGTTGTAACCTCTTACTTCCCTAATAAACCTCATAATTTTGAGGACTACCTGTGAATTGTGTGTGGCCACTGCAAAAAATTATCAGACCCAGCAGAGCAGTAGGATGTGTTGTGGGAGGGACAGTTGGTGTCGGAATTGGCAAAAAGGTTGGACAGTTGTGACATGTCTGACCTCTGCCTCACAGGAATCAGCCTTGGACTGACGGATGCTGATGGTGAGTCTGTCTCCCACTGTGAAGTTAGAGGAAGTCCGAAGACACCACTCCCACTACCTTTCTGCAGCTGGTGTCAGAAGTGGGATTCGTTGCTACAGATCCAGACTTATGGAAGCCTTAAACTTTGTAAGAGAAAGAAGGAAGGGGCTCAGGAAGTGAAACTTTTGATTCTTAGTTGTTTACTTTGATTGCTGTTACTTGTAATGACTGAAAAGAATGTAAGAGGTGTTATGCTAAAGCTAAGGGGAAAAAAAGTCACATCTAGAGTGGTTTGCAGCAACAGCCAGGCCAATTAAGGAGATGACTGATAATGGGCCAGGGTCTTCAGGTTCCACCCAGAGGCCCCAGGCCATACACATGGTATGGGAATAAGTCAAGATATAAGAGAAGATGAAACTTGAATGTTTTAAAAATGGTTTTGTGTTTTGGGTTATGTGTGTATCTGAATGTACTATGGATACTTAATGTTTCTCTTACATGGTTATATGTTGGGAGCTCTGGTGGTGTAGTGCTTAAGGCATCTGACTGCTAACCAAAAGGCTGACAGTTCAAACCCACCAGCCACTCCTCAGAAGGAAGACTGGGCAATCTACTTCCGCAGAGATACCACCTGGGAAACCCAAGGAGGGGTCACTATGAGCCAACTCAACTCTACGGCAGTGAGTTCGTTAGAAATGAATACTGGGTAAGATATTATCCAATTAGGTAACAGAAAGCGTGTAACTCTGCCTTCAGCCAATACCTGATTGGACATTCCAAAAGGGGGACTACGATCTGCCCAGAAAAAACACAGACTTTTTATTTCAAGCATATAGCCTTGCCAGTGTACAGAGTATTGGGGGCTTAGGTCAAAATCCTGAGCCCTATCTAGAAAATTTGCATTTGAGAAGACATGCAGACTCCAGAACTACTGAGAGAATAGGAGATTTGCATTTGAAAGAATGACCTGCAGAAAAATGGGGGAGACTAGGAATGACTGTTTTGCTTTTCTGAATTTCAAGGAAGCCATTTGTTTTTGGTTGCATTGAGGCAGGAACAAGTCAGACACCCATCAAAAGAACTTCTTCCAGGGCTGCAAGTTAAAGGGACCCATTGAGTAGATAGCCTTCTATGCTCACTTGTGGTGACCACCTGGGTCCACTCAATAAGTAGAAATGGGGGAGGTGCAGCAGTGAAGAAACTGGCTGAGCTTGGCACCCAGTGATGTAGCCCACAGAGGCTAGGAATGAGAGAGAGGGGGTTGGGAAGAAAAGGAAGGAGGGAGGGGGCAAAAGAGAGAGCGAGCGAGCGAAGGGCTGGTCAGAAGTGCAGGGAAGTGTGTGAACTCCAAGCTTACAGCTGATACCCACTGATCTAACTTGGATGGCTAGGGCTGAGCTGACCAGAACCCGACTGAATGAAGAGAAAGATGTCTAACACCGTGAGCTGGTATAAATTGCTGCAGTTTGATGGGTTGCTCTGGACTGGACTTTGCTTATATATGGTTGCAGATGCTTGTTCAATGTTCCATCCAGAACAGAAGTTTCTTCAGAGAAAGGAAC